GAGCTATATTCCAATGCATTTATAATTTTTATTTTAAGACAGGGACTCCCTAAATTGCTTAGGGCCTCACTAAGTTGTTGAAGGTGACCTCCAACCTGTGATCCTCCTGCCTCAGCCTCCCAAATTGCTTGAATCCAAGCAATTACAGGTGTGCACCATCGTGACCCACATGCATTTATGGTTTGGATATGAGTTATCCCCCAAAAGCTCACGGTGTGAGACAATGCAAGAAGGTTCAGGGGAGAAATAATTGGGATTATGAGTCTTTTAACCCAGTCAGTGAATTAATCCCCTGATAGGATTAACAGAGCGGCCATTGAAGTGGCTGGGAGTGACTGGAGGTGGGAATTGGGGCATAGCTTTGGGGTATATATTTGTACTTGGCAAGTGGAGACCCCTCCCTCTGCTTCCTGGTCATCACGTGAGCTGCTTCCCTCCACCACACTCTTCTGCCATGATATTCAGCCTCACCTCGAGCCCTGAGGAATGGAGCCCGCCTTCTCTGGACTAAGACCTCTGAAACTGTGAGCCCTCAAATAAACTTTTCCTCCTCTACAATTGTTCTGGTCAGATCTTTTTGGTCATAGCCGTGAAAAAAAGCTCACCCAAACAGTGTTTTTACTATCACCATAATTGTGCCTTTTCCAGAATGTCATTTGGTTGAAATCACACAGCATATGGTCTTTTCAGAAACATGGATTCCTTTCACTTAGTGATATGCATTTAAGTTTCCTCCACGTCTTTCCGTGGGAACTGCAAAAGAGTTGGTTTATAACAACAGCTTGTGGTGGCTTGGCAGTGTCCCCTAAATGTTGACCTGTTAAAGGCTTGCTGCTTTACCTGTGGCGCTATTGGAGGTAGTGGGACCTTTAAGGGGAGGGGCTATGAGCAGGAAGTGAGGTCATGGGGCGTGGCTTCAAAAGGGATTTAAGGAGCCCCAGGCGCTCCCAGTCTTCTTCATTGCCTCCCAGACGCCTTGAGGTGAAGTCTTCTGCGTGCTCTTGCCATGGCCATGATCATGGGCTCCGTCGCCACAGGCTAAGCAACTGAGCCCAGGGGACATGGGCCTAAGCTTCTGGAACCGTGCATCAAGTGAAATTTCCCTCCTTTAAAGTTGCTTATCTTAGCTATTTTGTCACAGCAAGGGAAAGCAAAGTCGCCTGTGTGCTGAGTCTTGACTTCCAAACCCCAGCATGACTCCCAGAACCAGAAAGACGTGACCCTAGAATGACCCCAGCACCCTATTTATTTATTCTTTTATTTGCAGTGCTGGGGATGGACCTCAGGTTGTCCCCAGGCAAGCACTCTACCACTGAGCCAGAGCCCCAACCCTCTCTATTCTTTTGAAATATACTACACACCCAGGTGTTGGGGTTGCACACTGAATTCCCAGTGACTTGAGAAACTGAAGCAGGAGGATCTCAAGTTCAAGGCTAGCCTCAGCAGATTGGGGGCTGGGGATGTAGTGGTAGAGTGCCCCCTGATTCAATGCTTAATACTAGAAAAAAAAAAAGAAAGAAAGAAGGTGGGGAAAAGAGAAGGAGGGATGAAGAAAGAAAGAAATAGACATAAATATAGCAAAGTCTTGATTACTATGGTTTTATAGCAAATCTTAAAGATGGGTAGCGTGAGTCCTCTGACTCTGTTCTGACCTTGTTGATACATAAAAAAGCCACTTGCTGGGGTTTTTATCGGGATTACATTGAACTAGTAGATCAACTGGGGAAGAATTGGCATCTTAACAATATTAAGTGTTCCAGCCCATGATCACAGGCTCTCTCTTCATTTATTTACCGATTTGATTTCTTTCATCAGAATGCATATTTTCCCACCTGCAGATCCTATCTATGTTTTGTTATATTTATTGCTAGATATCTCTTTTTTTAGGTAATGCTGTTGCCTATCTCAATTGTTAAGGGAGAGTAACCCTTTGCATGAGGTATGTTTTGCAGTTGTTGACACTGGGAAGTGTCAAGGTATCATATTTGGTGTCTGCCAAGAGCCTGCTTCTTAGTTAATAGGCGGATGTCTTCTCCCTGTGACTTCAGGGCAGAAAGCACAAGGGAGTTCTGTGGCGTCTCCTTCATTTGTTTAAGGCAATTGTGACACGAACACCCTTCATGCAGAGCCTCCCAAACGCCCACCTGCAAATAGCACCCTACTGGGGATTCAGTTTGAGGCCTAGGAATTTCAAGGGCACAAACATTCAGTTTATTACCTCAGGGTCAAATATCACTACTGTGACTCTTGCCATCACATCCAACATCCCAGAGACTTGGATAGAGAAAAAGAAAAAGAATCCTGGTGCAATGGTGCATGCCTTTATGCCCTTTATGGTTTGTATTCTCCAACCTGTCTTTGTTTCTCACTTTCGCTCTAGTTCGGGTTCAGCAAACTGCAGTCCCATAGCCCAAACTCAGCCGGCCCCCTGTATCGGGAACAGAGCCATGATGATGCATGGAGTCTTTTCCAACTGCTTTCACACTGCACAGGTGAATTGTGGGCCACCTGACCTGCAAAGCTCAAAATATTTACCTTGCGTGAAAGAAAAGCGGTGCAGGCGCACTCCAAGGATAGAGGCATGAGCAGATTTAGGATCAGGCCGCTGACAGACTGCTCCAGGCAGAGAGA